GTCTCTCACTTCGAAACGTCTTGGAATGTTCTAAGTCAATGGTCAGATGCTGGGAATCACGACTGCTCTGGCTGAGAACACAGGACTAGGTAGTTTCCACTAGCTCTCTCTGATGCTTCGAAAAAGTCGCAAAAAAGGTCTAACCAACACTATGAAGCTAAAGGAGACTGCGACTAAACAGAAGACCACAGCATCTTGGTCTTAATATCCAGTTTCTAAACAATAGTTTGGCCTCTTAAATTATCTGTACCCGACTGGTAAGCCTTACACATCCCCTGCATGTTTTACGAGATTTATTAATTTGAGGCCTTCTAGAGATACCCTAGTACATCAATGTTTAAATATTTTTATTTCGAATGAATGTGTCATTCTCACCATAAGGTAACGATGGTTTGATATCGTTTTGCTATGCATTTATTTTTTTTTTTTGGTAGTGCTAATTTCATAGTAAATGAAATTTACTACAATTAGAAGGCTGATGACACGTTAAGCGACCGGAAAACCAGTCCATCATCTATGAATCTAGCTTTTACTAAGCATGAAGCAGGCCCAAATTAACAAAATGCATAATGTAAATTTTACAGTGGATTGATTGTCTGAAGCAGTGATCAACAAAATAATAATTTACATCTCTGAACAATGTGAAAGTTTTGCGGTTCACTTGATGTATGCTAATAATACAGGCAATTAATATGTGGCACTTAATATTGGAAATGCGTTATTCTAAATGCCTAAAGATATAATTAGTTATTGTATTGACATATCAGCCTTAAGATTAATTCTTTCTATTTTGCTTTCATTCTCGCATTTATGAATAGATAATTGCTTTTCCTATGAGCTCGATACAAATGTACAGTTTTTTCATGAACGAATTATACGAAGAGGCTAAGATGTCGCCCCCGCGATATAGATTGATCCCCTCATAATCTACTCTATTAATTTTAGCACTGTTCATATCATAAAAAACTTCATAAATTTGATTGATGAAAAATATCCAAACCTCTAAATCAATTGACTCTTTTTTCCCGAATACTTAATAAATAAAAATATATATATACATATATTATTACTCATATCGAAGATGTGAAGACCAAGATGTTGTGGCCTCTGGCATGGTCGCAGTCTACTTTCGATTTATAGAAATGGTTTGACCTCGTTGTCGCAACTTGGTCTTGTTGTCAAGGGGACTTAGTAGAACGCACCTAGTTCGAAGTCGTCTGTCATAGTAGTTGTCATGATTCCCAGTATCAGACAGTGGACTCGGTACATTTTCAAACTTTTTGCTGGCTTCGTATTCGGCATCATCAGTGAGTTTTGCCATTCTCCGCACCAAGCTATGAACTCGTCAGAGACAAGTGAAGTCAATCCCTCGACAAACGTTCTGGCGAAAACGGCTACACTATCACTCTTCTTTCTGTCCTGGCCTATCTATCTACTCTTTACCCTCTTATCCCACTGCCACCCTATCACAAGTTCTGACTTGTTTACAATCCACTAATTAAAATTTGTGCCCTTTTTTGGCAAATCTAGTGTGATCGCATCATACTTAATATTCGCCCACACTCCCTCTCTTTCGATCGGCTAATACGACTCGGGCCTCCAATTCGGATCCCTTCATTGTCTGTGGATCCGTTCCTTATATTTCTGGTTGACCGATTTCACTCTGTTCCAGTCCCTGTGCGCATTTCACCCCTGGCGCTATTTCTCAAGGCCCTAGAAGCACGTAGACTGCTGCTTCACTTAGCAGAGCACCTTAGCTCTAATTCCCATGCTTGCAGATATCAGGCCTTCCCTTCACTGGTCTTCTTGTTTAAACCCATGTTATCTGAACAAACTGTGGACCCCTATTTCTGGTCGCATGCGGCATCAAGTAAATTTCTTGTACATTATGGACATAACGCTGAATTTTCGTGACGGCTTGCTTATACTTCTGCCAGCTCTGTGACTGACAGGCCCCTGAAGTTATACTTGTTCATTCGAAACGGACATCACTCACTGACGACGTTTTCGCTTTATTGCCGAAAAACCATGACCCCTTTTTCTTCATCGCGATCCCTTTTCCTCCGGATAGCGGAAGATCCTTGATCCTTTTTGCTGGTCTTGATCTATTCTTATTTTTCCTGAGTTTGCTTAGGCAGTCTGTGCGATGTGTTTCGCTAATTCTGATATTTCGGTTTCCATTTTGCTCCAGAGCATCTGATGTTCCTTGATTCGTGTGCTAATTTTTATTCCTGTTTCGCCAGTATATTTCTGTTCACAGGCGCCGCATGATATACAGTAAAATCCTGAACAATAAAATTTATCTACTCTTTCATGTTGCGTCGGTAGATTTGTGAAAAGTGTTGATTTATCTTTCATGGCCATCTGAATATTCCATTTCCTCAATATTGGCCGTATTTTTTGAGTTAGTTTGGAGGAAGGTCCATTTTTTCGCATCCTTCATCGTCCTTACTGTCACCGTTCTGCCATCGGATTTTCACGGCCCGTATGTTCATTTGTATCATTTCGTTTGGGTAGATATTTCCGAGGAATATCTCAGTAAATTTGTCTAGCTCCTCGTCCTAGGATTCGACATCCACAGTTTGCTCAGATAACATGGGTTTAATTAAGTAGAGGACCCGTGGAGGGAACGCCTGATACTAGAGCTTAGGCGCTCTGCTCAGTGATGTAGCAGTGATGTACATGCTTCTATAGCCTTGAAAAATATCGCCTGGAGTGAAATGCTCACTGGGACTGGAACTGAATCAAATTGTTCAACTAGAAAGATAAGGAACGGATCTACGAAACAATGAAGGGATCCAGATTGAAGGCCTTATTCAGATCAGCTGATCGAAAGAAAGAGGGACGGGGTGAATAGCAAGTGTGATTAGGCCACACTAGATTTGCCACAAAAGGGTGCATATTTTGACGAGTAGATTGTAAACAAGTCAGAAGTTGTGATAGGGCGGGAGTTGGATAAGAGGGTAAATAGTAGATACATAGGCCAGTACACAAAGAGGAGTGATAGTGTAACCGTTTTTGACAGAACGTTTGTCGAGGTATTGACTTCACTTGCCTTTTTGACGAGTTCGTAGCTTGATGCGGAGAATGACAAAACTCACTGATGATGCTGGCTACGATACCGGCGAAACGTTTTGATAATGTGCTAAGTTCACTATGTGATGGTGGGAATCATGACTAGGTGCATTCTACTAAGTCTCCATGACAAAAAGATCAAGTTGCGACAACGAGGTCAACCCACTTATATAAATCGAAAGGAGACTGCAACCATATCAGAGGACACAAATTTTGGTCTTCATATCTTCAATTTTGCAATTATTTTTGTCCATTTGGATACTCAACATATGCAGCTTATAAGCGAACTTTAAGGTGTCATCCCTGAACCATGCTCATTCGACACTTGGATGCATACTTTATAGTTTGCTCACGTGGGAGAAAAAAAGTAAGTTTATCCCTGAGTTTTTCAAATAGTTTTATGAAAAAAGCAAATTTTTATTGATTTTGGAAAGGATGTCCGTCTTCCAAGCACTGGATTTTGGAGTCATTGTTCCAATGGAGTACTCAAGAGGGGTTATTCAGATCGTAATTGCATTTATAACTAATCGTCAAATTCCAGTTTCCTTATAACTATACAATAAAGATAAAACTAGTTAAGATTATTATTATTATAAGCTTAAGAAGGGGAAAAAAATTAAGTTAACTTACCCGATGCCTCTTGATGAAGCATAACTAATAAAATCCTTACAAAGGAATATAGGGATTTTAATCAACACATGGCGATTATGAACAGAAAGCAACTGCTAATTGATTCTAAAACTGTCGTACATAGAGAAAGTTGATGTCTGAAGAACGAGAAACATTTTTCACAAGCCTTACCTCAGAATAATTATACTGGAGTTTGCATAAAATGAAAAGACCCGCCAAAAGTCCTTTGATCATAGAAATAAGGGAATATAAAGGGCTGCAAAAACACGTATACGAAGGTTGGTGATAGCAAAATATCGCGTGGACGGAAGCCACATCGCATAGAAGGCAACAGAATACTGGCATAATACGGTGGAACTGCATGGAAGGGAAAGATCAGAAAAACTGTCGATATCTTTCTGAAATAAGCTTAATGAATTGAGAATAAAAATAACCGTGAAACTATAATTTTGCTCATTGTTTGGGATAACTCGGAAAAACATGGAATTAACAAAAAGGAGGCGCCTGAACAGGTCTTATTTTAAAAAAGATTAGGGATCGTATGACAGAGATAAAGAGACCAAAAGCAGTACGTAGTGTTAAAACAGTACAAGTCGCAAAATTATATCAATAGTGAGAACGATAATCCACTTGATCTAACATAATTGCCACTATAGAGTGAGGTCGGATTGATTACGAATAAATCTCAGTTGTCAATTTGTTCATGGTACATGGTTTTAATCACGAGGGTCGTCTGTGAATTAACTCCTGGCCGTTAGATTTACAACCTCAGCTAAGGGATTAATCACTTAATAGATTAAGAGGTAGCAGGGGAGAATACGATAGCGCTTTGTTGTTGTTGTTCAGAGTTAAAAAGACAAATCGAATCAACAATTGTTAAACGTAGTTGAAATTAGCGACCTATTCCTACACTTCTCTTATTCAATATTTAGTTTTGTTACATCCCGTACGTAGCCATTGCTTAACAACCTTGTACACATAAATTACGTATGTGACTATTCTTCGTTCTTTATTTCACGTCAACAAATCAAAGTTTGGCCCTTCATCCTCGTATTAGATGTTGATATGGTAAACTACACAAGGATATCTTAAGTAACTAACATCTTGTTTAGGTTGGATACGTTTTCTGTCTATTTCTCTTCCCCGCAGTGACCCGCGGAGTCTAGACTTCCCTATTTCGCACCGCCTTTTAATGGTTGTCTTTCTATTGACAGCCCTCGTACTGTATTCAGCCGTTTCTAAATAGGGTACTTGGTGTTACTATTTTTTCTTTTCTCTCTTCGTTTCGAGGCCTAAATTTGGAGTTGTAAAGTGTAATTGTTTTATATTTTGGAGACAGTCCGCGTCCTTTTTGTGGAAGACTAACATATGATTACGCATCACCAAATCCTTTCGAAATGGCGCACCTATGAGAAGTATATCAACAAAGAAATTAAGGATTGTGAAAAAGAGAATAGTATAAGTTAATTTAAGACAAGCAAAGCACTATAAACAAATTTGGAAATGTTAGTCTAATTTTAATGTGCTCAAATTTGCGGAATTCGCTCCATGATGATTCTTTGTTTTATCTATCAAGAGATATTTTACTATGGTAATAGTAATTTAATTTCATTCTCTAATTCTTTCTTGATTTCCTTTTTTATCTTTTCAGATCACAGGGTCTGCGCATTGCTCCACCAGAAGCTCCTGTTACTGGTTATATGTTTGGCAAAGGAGTATACTTTGCTGATATGGTAAGCAAGTCAGCCAATTATTGTTTCACTTGCTCGAGCTCTCCTGAAGGTATGCTCTTGCTATGTGAAGTCGCCTTAGGCCGAATGCATCAATGCAATTGTGCGAATGGACAACCTCTTTCTTCCAAATTTGACTCTAGAAAGGGTATGCTTAATCGACCAAATTTA